TGTTGGGGTTTGTGCTAGGGCCTTGTGCTTACTAGGCAAGTGCTCTATCAGTTGAGCCACACCCCCAGCCTGATAGTAGTCCACTCTTATGTGCAGTGGATACATTCTAAAATCCTGGTGGATGCCTAAAAAGCCATGGATAGTACTATGTATATACTATGTCTTTCCTATATATACATATCTATTGCCAATTATGTATAGTAAGAGATTAACAATAACTAAAAATAAAACAGAACAATTGTAATAATATACTATAATAAAATTATGTGAATGAAGTCTCTCTCAAAAAATATCTCACTGCATTGTACCTTGTGATATGAGATGATACAATGATACAATACCCCTGTGATGAGGCGAAGTGTTGTGAATTATCGATATAGGTATTGTGGTACCATTATGCTACTATGAAAGGTTACCTGAAAACAAGAACTGCGATACTATGATGGATAGTTGATCTGACAATTAAGACAGCTATTAAGTAACTAACAAGCAAGTTTACAGTGTGGATACACTGGTCAAAGGGACAATTTATGTGTCAGGCTGCATGAAGCAGGATAGTACCAGAGTTCATCAAACTCTCAAAATAGCATGTGATTTAAACTTATGAACTGTTTACTTCTGGAATTTACCATTTATAGTTTCAGAATGAAGTTAACATAGGTAACAGAAATTTCAGAAAGTGAAATGTGGATAAGGGACTTCTGTAAACATTAGAATAAGCGGGTCAAATTTGATTAGCTTAGAGAGAACTGATGTTTTTGTGACTGTAAGTGTTCCTATCTAAGTACATGGCTTACCATTTTATTTTTTGGGGGGGGTCTTCTTTTGTCTTTCAGAATCATTTTGCAGTTTTCTTTACATGGAGTGTGCACATCTTGCGTTTATGTCTGGGTATTTACCTTTTCTGTTATTATGCAAATATGAAATATTTCTTTCATCATGTCTCTAATTGTTATTTGTATGTATTTTTTTTTTTTTCCTGGTGGGACTGGGGTTTGAACTCAGGGCTTTGTCTTTGCAAAGCAGGCGCTCTATTGCTTGAGTCACACCTCTAGTTCATTTCAGTCTGGTTATTTTTGAGATGGTCTTGAGAACTATTTGTCTGGGCTGGTCTGGAACCTTGATCCTTCTGATATCAGCCTCCCAAGTAGCTAAGACTACAGGTATAAGCCACCAGTGTCCGGCTTATGTGTATGTTCTATGCTGATAAATTTACTTACGTAGCAAATTACTTTCCATTAGATTCTGGAGGACCTAGCTTGGAAATCTAAATAGGAGGGCCAATTCCCTCAGAAACTTTTATGGCCACTGAAATCCCATCATTAGATACTCCCAGGCTAGCCTGGGATGCGTCCTTTTTTTTTGGTGGGAATGAACTTAAGGCTGCGTGCTTGCAAAGCAGGTGCTTTACTGCTTGAGCCACACCTCCAGTCCACAAATTACTTTCCTTAAGGTAAAGAAAACTTCTTCACAAATCCAGTGCAACAAATTCTTATTGGTTCTAAAATGTTAAGGAGGTTTTTTAAAACTTACCTAAAAAGGTCAAAAATAGTCAGGTAAGTATAGGCAGTTAAAGCTGCAAAACAACAAAAGGTTGATTAAAATTATACTTAACCCATTCTTAAGAAAATGTAGTAAAATATGCAAATTGTTCATATTGGACTGGAGTAACTGACCAACCTCATATATTGGGAACTATGTAGTAAATTTGGTCAATATATGTAGCAAAAGTTAGTACAAAGCTAACCTTGATTTTGTTAGTACAAAAAAACCTAAATTCTGCATCAGAAAAAAAGAAGTGGCAAATGGCCCAAAGCCCTATGACCATTTTTCTGCTTGTTTCTGCCACCTTAGTAGCATTTTCAATGCATACTTTGAATAGCAAGAATGATGTATAAAAATATCAGCAGTTATGACACAAGAAAAAAAATTACTGAATTTTCTTTTTTAAGGACTAGCCAACAAACCTCAAAAATTTTACTTATGAACTGTATAAATCAGTTTTAATCTAGTGCACTAAAAAAATTCAGTTGCACAAATGGATTAAAAGGTGTTTTTTATTTTTTTTGTGCTACTGGGGTTTGAAATCAGGGCCTCCCACTTGCTAGGCAGGCACTGTACCAATTGAGTGACTCCATTAGCCTTTTTTTTGTGCTGGATATTTTTGAAACAGGGTCTTGCACACTATTTGTCTGGTCTGGCTTTGAACTGAGATCCTCCTGATCTCTATATCCTGCATAGCTTAGATTACAGGCATGAGCCTGACTTGAGAGGTGTTTTTTTTTGTTGTTGTTGTTGTTTTTTTAATAACAGCACATTTAAAATTTTAATGTCAAACAAATCAACCCTACTTTATGGTTTTAATATATTCTCTCAATAAAAGGAAAGTAGAAAAATACATTCTCTCATTTAAGTCATTTGAGCCATACATATTTCAAAAGAATATGTTCTATGTAAAGGAAAAATATACCTTTGTTTAAGGTAAAAAACAAAAGTACAACTCCATAAAAATAAAAGTGGTGACATACCTATACTATTAGTAGAACTGCACCACATAAGCAGGAAGCCAGTGCATATCAAGTTTATTGCAACAAACAGCAGTATCTTCCAGGACTGTGAAAAGGAAAATCATTATTATTTGTACAGTGCTAATAAATTTCACGGGATCTGTTCGAGTTGCTACGATTTATCCTCTGACATTGAGAACAATAAGCACAAGTTCCTTCAAAAAGTCTGTGTAACATTTTCTAAGTTTACCAAATTATCATTAACCAGTTTAATACAAATCCATAAGGGGAAGGGGAAATTTTTTTTTTTTTTTTTTGCAATTCTGGGGCTTGAACTCAGGGCCTACACCTTGAGCCACTCCACCAGTCCTTTTTCGTGACAGGTTTTTTTGAGCTAGGGTCTTGAGAACTATTTGCCCAGGTTGGCTTTGAAGCACCATCCTCCTGATTTCTGCCTCCTCAGTAGCTAGGATTATAGGCAAGCCACCAGCGCCTGACTCAGAAAGGAAATTTTTTAAACAGAAGATACATTCTGATAGAAACTCATAAACACCTGAGAAAAAAATGCCTCTATGTACATACATACCCCCCCACACATACTTTGTGTCTATAAATCTGCATATATAGATGATGTTAAAGCAAATGAGGCAACATGTAAGCAATTGGTAAATTTGACTAAAGGATATAATTATGTTCCTTATACTAATCTTGTAACTTTTCTATAACTTTGTAATTATATCAGAATAAAAAGGTTTTCACATTTGTCATATTCTGTTCCCTACAAAGCAGGGACTGGGATTCCTGTTTAGCAAGTGTGAGGACCTGAGTTCAAACTTTAGTACATTAAAAACAAAAAAAAAAAAAAAAGAGAGAGAGAATTTCATGTTGAACACAGAGGAAATTTAAGCAAGAGCAGGTTTATTAATGTAAAACAAAGTAAAAAAAGTTGGGGGGGAAGTACACCCTTTAGATGGGAGGAAGAGCAGGGTACTAGAGTTTCATCTCAGGGCCTCACACGTACTAGACAGGTGCTCTACCACTTGAGCCATTCTGCCAGCTCTTTTTTATGTTGGGTACTTTTGTTTTAGTTCTCACTTTTTTTTTGACCAGACAGGCCAGCCTCTGACTATGATCCTATTTGTCTCCAGAGTAACTAGGACCACAGGTTTCCACCACCATGCCAGCAAGAAGCTTCTTGCTATTTTGGTATTTTGGTGGCACCCTAAGTATCTCCTGAGTTTTGCTTTTTTTTTTATTGTGGGAGTACTGGGATTTTGAATTAGCTAGCTTGTTTTTGGGAAAGGGTCTTATTAACCTTTGCGCAGGTTGGCCTTGGATCATGATTCTATCTCAGCATCCCAAATAGCTAGAATTACAGGAACACACCAGCATACCTAGCTCCAAGACTTCAACCTTTTATTGGGTTCTGCAGACATGCAAGCAGTCATTCTTGGGAAACTGGGTTGTGTGTCATTAACTCCTGGAGACTGGGTTCTGCATCATAAACTGCTCATGTGCATTGAGTGGGAGAGTCTTTGGCCTTGAATGGTCAGTTCAGGGTTTTCAATTTTGTGTAGTGTAGGGGCTATGAGTAAGCAAGACCCTGTTGCATGTCACAAGTTGTTTGGTTAACAATAGCAGGCCAGAATGTGATTTTTTTTTTTTAATCAGCATCCAAGCAATCATTTTCAGTTATCAGGTTTTCTAACACCTACATATCAAAGTGATATCAAATAGTGTCTTATATGCCAGGAAAAGAACTGGGATTTATCAGAAATGAGATGGAAAGTGACTTATCTTACATTTTAAAAAGACTATGCTATTGGGTGTTGTGGAGCTTGCCTATAATCCCTGCACTTGAGGCCAGCCTGGGCTACATAGTGAGACCATCTTACCCCACCTCCCAAAGAAAAAGATCCTTCTGGCTTCTTTTTGGAGAATTTAATGAAAAGGGGTAAGAATAGAATTAGGAAGACCACTATGAATGTGACTGTAATCATCCATGTAAGAAATGATGGTGGCTTTGAAAGTGATAAAAAGTTGTTAGAAGGGTCAGATTCTGAGGATTTGCTTATAAAATGTGAGGAATGAGGGACAGAAAGGAGATGAAAATGACTCTGGGTTTCCTGGCTGTGAGCATTTCAGTTAGTGGGGAAGATCAAAGTTCAGATTTGACTATATTGTTTGAAACATCTATGAGACATCCAGGTAGAAATACTGAGAAGGCCATTACATACAGGAATCAGGGGTGAGAAAAATGTTATCATCAGCATGAAGATGACAGTGAATGACACGGAACTAGATGGCATTTCTAGGCATACATGGATATAAAAAGAAAAGGCTAGATCTTGCACAATGGGTGAGCTTGTTCTACAAACCTAACTGGGGGTGAAAAGAGATGCTGGAAAAGACAACAGACAAAAGACAAAACATGCACAAAGGTTGGGCGCTCAGATGGAGACACACCAGCCCCTTCCACCTCCAGTGAGTTTATTATATACCATAGCAACATGGCGTGGAGAGACGATCTCAGGGAAGGGGGCATGACACCGTGATCCTCGGGAACGGGAGAAACCTGTAACCGCATCTCTCTGAATGTAAACATCTTAGGAAAAACAGTGGTACTGCATCTTGCCCACTTCTGCAGTTGAGGCTGTGCCAATTCAAGTATGAAATTTATTGGATGTAACTATGCTTGCTCCCTTCTGCAGTTTGGGGCTGTGCCAACTCAAACACGCAGCTTATTCTATACATCTGTCGGCTCCCAACAGCTAGCGTGAACTCATGCTCTAAAACTTACGAGGTCAGAAAGAACATAGAAAAGTAGCTGAAACATAATGGATAAGTCAGTAGGAGGAAAACAAAGAACTGTTTTAGAATTCAAATGAATGAAGTATTTTAAGAAGGAAGTGACCTGTATTTGTCAAATACTAAAAAAGGTCAAGAAAGACGATGACCATGGAGTTTGGTAACATAGAGGTTACTGGTTACCTTGTAAAAGCTGTGAAATAGTATAGACTACAGCCAGACTGATAGGTATTTAATAGACAGGGAGAAGAGAAAGTGAATGTAGAGAGCACAGAGAATTCTTTCATTTTGCTATAAAAGGACTGAGAAATGAATTGGCCAGTGACTATGTAACATGTAGCATAGAATTTTGATATAAGAAAGAGAACGGAGGGGGTGGACTTGTTCAAAGTACACTGTACACATGTATGGAATTATCACAATGAAACCTCGTATTATACATGTTAATTGAAAAGTAAAAAATTTTTTCTTTTTTAAAAAAGGAAGAGAATGATGAAAGAACCAATGATGCAAGAAACAGAAGGACCAATTATAGGAACATAACCTCTGACTGGCAGCCACAAACTAACCTTATATAGAAGAACCTATAGCTCATTTACAGAAATAGCAGGGAAGACAGAGCTTTGGTTGATGTGCTTATGACAGGATGTAGAAGTTTTTTCTGATTACTTCTTTCCCTTAATGAAATAGAAAGCAAGATCAACAGGTTGAAGCTAGATGTGGTGCTACATACCCGTAACCCCAGCGCTGAGGAGGCTGAGGCAGGAGAATGGAGAGTTTGAAGCAAGCAAGCATGCAAACCAAGGAAGAAATAAAGCAAGAAAGAAAGAAAAGAAAGAAACAAAGAATTGGAGTAAAAACTAAGTAAACCCTTGCTTTCTTCAAAGCAAAATATTTGAACATCAAACAACCAGGATTTTACATTAAAGAAATATTTATCTGGGATTGAAAAATGAAAAGTGTGGTAGGAGTAACAGCCATGTCTTAAAAAAAAAAAATTACCTTTTTTCCAGTGTTTAAATGTTGCTGTGCAATAATTAAAACCAAGGTTAAGGAACAACTTACCCTTCGGTCAGCTGCTACAAGTCTAAATTCCTGTAATAACTTTCCAAAAAAGGATCTTTGTGGTTTTCGAAAGAGATGAATTGTCCCCTTTAAAATAAACAAAAATATACAAATGAACACTTAGGTATCTAATATTCTTCTCAGTTTCTGTGATTTGATATAGTATTAACAAGTGACATTTACTGAGTGCTCCACATATGCCAAGTACTTTTTTCTATCACTTTACATGGATTTACCAATCTAATATTCAAATAATCTTATGAGGCAGAAATAATTTTTAGTAAGTTGTCCAAGGTCAGAAAGCTGTAACAGCTGAGCAGGAATTCAAACTCCAGATTACACTCAATTTTTAACCAGATAAGGCAAAAACAAACAAACAAAAAACCAAACTTACAATTCACCTGATCACTGAGAAACTAAAGGTGTGGCAGCTCCAGGGGTAAAAGCCCTGAGGACCGGATTCAGGCATCTTGCCACCCTTGCCTCTGGCACAGTCTGGGCCTCCCAAAGAAAAGGCCTAGCACTACAGTCAGCAACGGGACAGGACACAAGCTGGTACATACAGGGGTTTTGCCACCAAGTTCAGGAAACCACGTGCCAAACCTTTAGATTTCAAATGCACACGTTTTTATGATAAAGACACTACCTAGGAGCTACTCAGTAAGTGGTATTTTGATAAAGGTAATGCATCCTTATTATACTCCGTATTGTTACTTAAAAAAAAAGTAAAACTATACTTTTTTTTCTTCAACTGTGACTCCAGACAGAATACAGAGGAGTTTTGCAGCACCTCTCTGAGTGTTATGGAGCTTTCCTTCTCCCATCTGTGTCAGCCTTTCAAGGCACTGCATCAACCTTAGCTGGCACAGAAAAGGGCATGAAACTAGTCTTTAAATAAGCAGGGATGTATAATTTGACAACATTGGAGCAGGGATGTGGTACAGATAATGAAGAGAAACCTAACTTGTCTATGAGAAAGCCTGGAAAGGGCATTTGAAGTGTGTGCTATAATTAGTTGAATTATAGCAACAACAGAAATACTGACAAAAGACCTGTGATTACTAATTGCTTCAGCTGTCATTAAAAAATACTTTATATCCTGAAAACATGGTATGGTCCTATTAATTTTTTCTGGCATGGGTTTCAAAAGCAAGTAATTCTTTCTAGGAGGAGGAAATCTTTCATAATTGTCAAAGGATTGTACATAATAGTTTTATTGCTAAGTGCTTAAATTTTGAATTTTATCAAAATATTCCCTTTTATGGTAAAAGCTACAATCACTATAACAACCACACTACATTTCTCCATAACAGAAGTTGACCAATTTGACTCAAACACTGCAGCCTCAGAAAGCATTAGAACTGGGGTATTAAAAGACTATAAATGTGAAAAGCTTGCAAATTCAATTCAAGCAGATGCATGACTTTCTTACATTACAAGAACATTTCAGTATTTATAAGAAGATATGTTCCATGTCTTCAGAGATTAGACATGTCATTAGTTGCATTATCTTTAGACTCAGGAAAGAAAAAAAAATACCAAAGACTAGAAATCTGGTATAAGAAAAATAGTAACAAAATGCTAATAACTGTTGATATTAAATAATGGGTACTTTTGTATGTGTTTGAAATTTTTCATAATAAAAAAGGAATAAAAGGGCTGAGCACAATGACTCACACTTGCAATCCCAGCTATGTGGCAGATAGAGAGCAAGAGGACTGAGGTTTGAGGCCAGCCTGGGCAAAAAGTTAGTGAAGCCCCATCTCAACACATAAACTGGGCATGGTGGCTTATATCTATAATCCCACCTACATGGGAAGCTGTAGGTAGAGAATCATGATCCAGGCCAACCAGGGCAAAAATGTGAGACTCTACTTGAAAGATAACTAAAACAAAACAGACTGGAGGTGTGGCTGAAGTGGCAGAGCCTGTCTAGCAAGTCTTGGAGTTCAAATCTCAAAACTGCCAAAAACAACAATAACAAAAACCATAAAAGGAACAATAAAGTAAAAAAAATTATTAAAAGTAAAAATAAGTATCAGAAAAGTACTACTAATGTTAATATCCAACAAAGAACAGTGGTGTTTGTGTAATCCTGTGGCCCTGATCCAGTTTAAAAAGAACAAAATGCTATAACTGGGATGACAGGCGTAAGCCAACATGCCTGATTTATTTGGTGAGATGGGATCTAACTAACTTTTTGCCCAGGCTGATCTTGAACCACAATCCTCCTGATCTCTGCCTTCCCCAGGAGTGGGATCATAGAAAGGAGCCACTACACCCAGCACAGAGGGCCACTTTCTGATACTGAAAATAAAAAAATCCTAACATCACTCTTTCCAAAATTATATTGGCCCTCCAGCACCATCAGGATAAACTCCAAGTTTACATCCTAAAATTCCAACCTTTAAAAATTTAGACTGTTCTTTCTAGTTTTCTCTAACTCAGAAATCCTCAACTCTAGCTAAACTGGCCTATTCCTTAGCTCATAATCACACCACTCTAGAGACAAAGGCCAGGCTTATCTAACCCAAATTTTACCAGACCTGACACAGTTGACTGTTTCCTCATCTAAAGAATAAAGCACAAAGTACACAGTTTCATGTTCTATCTCTTCCATGAAGTCTTCCTAGATCACTCCAAACTACAGTGCTTTCTGTTACTTTGTAGCTAGCTGTAGTCTAGTCTTCATCCTCCTCTTGCAGTGTTTTTTTTTTTTTGTAACTTCACTAATGACAATGGTCATACTTTCCATACATTTTCTAAGAAAGTACATTTGGTACATAGCATGTTCTTCATAAATAGTATGTGACCCATAAAACCATTTTCCCAATAACCTTTAAGATAAATCTTAGATGCTGGCTCAGTGGAAGAATACTTATTTAGCAAGTGCAAGGGCCTAAATTCAATCCCTAGCACACACACATTCACAAGTGTATATACATATATCTAAATGCTATTTCCCTGTATTACTAATGTTTCAAGCATAAAAATTTAGTGCCATCACTAATTCAGTGTTTTATAAAACAGGTGTTTATTGAAAACTTCCTCTGAGCCAGTCATCAGTCAAGCTCTGAGAATATCAGAGTAAAACACATAGGCACTACTATTAATAAGCTTACAGTCTACAAAGACAGAAAGTACATAGTTTTAACATAGTCTGGTAAGGACTACAAATGTAACTGATAAAAAGCACACAGTATCCAGACTTAAATGTGTCAGGCTGTAAGTAATGAAGGTGTATAATCTGGAAAACTTAATTTTAACCTTATTCCTTCTCTTTGAAAATCCTTCATGAGTGTTTTTGTTTGTTTGTTTGTCCTGTTTTTGTTTTTTGTTTTTCAGTACTGGGGTTTGAATTCTGGTTCTACACCTTGAGCCACTTCACTAGCCCTGTTTTTGTGATGGATTTTTTGAGATACGATCTTGTGAACCATTTGCCGGGGCTGGCTTTGAACCACTATCCTCCTGATCTCTGCCTCCTGAGTAGCTAGGATTATAGATGTGAGTCACGGACACCAGCTCTTCATGAGTGTATTAGGCCAAGTTTTTATGGTATGTGTGTCTTCTGTTAAGCTTTCTTTATGTAACAAAATTTTGCTTACCCATGTAAAAAAACCCCACAAGGTATTATGGGAACAAAAAGGAGAAACACCCATCAGGACATGGCAAAAAAGGCTGATGCAAAAGAATTAAGGATAAGGAAAAGGGCAGGTAGCTCAGGTTTGGGAAGCTGAGATCAGGAGGATCATGTTTCGAGGCCGGCTAGGCAAACAGTTCACAAAACCCTATCTTCAAAATAAACAGAGCAAAATGGGCTGGAGGCAGTACTCAAGCAGTAGAGCACCAAGCTTGAAGGCCTGAGTTCAAACCCCAGTCCCGCAAAAAAAAAAAAAAAAGGGACTGTAAGGGTTATACTGATAAGAAAGGGAGTGGGGAAATGGAGAACAATCCAGATGGATGGAATAGCATATACACATCAGGTACAAAGGTCCAAGTCATACAGCAAGATTTGCAAGTTGCTAGTTGTCAATAGAATATGGGTGTTGTATGTGTCTGTGTGTGAAAACCAAGCAGAAAAGAAAACAAGACTGCAATGGATACATGTCATGTTAAATAGGAGTTTGTCTGGCACCCTGGGGGCAGGGATGAGAAGCTTCAAGGGAGTGACATGCTCAAATTTTAGAAACACAACTCTGGCTGTACAATTGGTAAATGTCTGAAGAAGAGCACAACTGGAGGTTAATCTGGCCATTATCCTCCCCAAGTAAACTTTTATTCATTTTCTGAGTGCAAAGAAGGATTACAGAAAATTTACAAAAGATAGTGTTGTTTATAAATTTTTCGGCCAGATCCACTTAAGGAAGAAATGTTTACAGTGACAACAGCTAGGACACAGAAATGTGTCTTCCTCATATATAGGCTATCGAGAAGTGCTCAATGAATTTTTTTCCTGATAAAAATAAGGCACACATCACTTTGACACTGAAATCACAACCACCTGCTCATCTTTAGCTAACAATTATTATTTTTTGCTTGTTTCGTTTTGGAGACAGGGTCTCAACTATGTAGTCGGCTGATTTCAAACACTCAAGCCCCCTGCCTCCGCCTCCCGAGGGCTGGGATTTACAGGCACGCCTCACCACGCCTAGCTCTTACCTTCAGATAAAACCGAGGAGAAAATACTTGATTTCTAGACACAAAGCACCTAATTCCTCTAATAAGTTTTACAGAAAACCCTACACCCCGACAATCATAATGTATACTGGTACCTTTTACTAGTTTCTATTAACGCGGAAATAAAGCAGAAACTCTACCAACACCTTTATTTTCTGCAATCCTAGTGCTCATGAAAATTCTCGCTCTAACCAGCTATGGCCACTCGATAAACCCAAGTTACAGAGTGAGGCGTCTGTTTAAAACCCTACTCCTTAACTTTATTTCCGCTGACATTGTCACTGATCTAGCCATTGGGATTATTATACTCGAGTAGCTGTGGGTTTGCTTACAGGTCTTTTGTGGGTAGTGTAGCTGCCAACGCTGGCAAAGTCTCTTATTTTGTCTAGAAAATCTCGGCATGGGGAAGTCATAAACTCTCCAAACTCGGCCAGGAGCGAGATGTGCATCCCCAGTGGCAAACGAATTGGGGGAGGAACCGAAAATCACCAGAGCTCTGGGGGAAGTCGTCTGGAAGACAGCCGCTTCCCCACGGAGCCCAACCGCAACTATGAGGACCCCTTCTTTGGCCGGTTGAGGCATTTCAAATCCGCTCCCCGATGTAAGAAGATACGAGGAATCACCCGCGACAGAAACCCTCTCCCCAATGGCCAACTCACCATGATAAGGAGCGGGACCGCTCCCGCCGGAAGACGCTCTGGGGGCTCGCTTTTCCCAGTACGGAAGGGGTGGAGCATCAGAAGCTGATTGGCTGCAAGGACCGCAGGGGCGGAAGTACGTGCACAAGTTTCAAGGCCCCGCCCCTCTTCCGGCGGCCCGGCTTTCCACAGAGGACAGAGTGGCGGCTAGAGCGGCTCCACCATAGGTTGGTAGCTGTTGGCGTTGACTCGAAACGCTTAAGGATATTGACAAGGAGCAAAGAGGGGTGGTTTCGGAAAATTTACCTGTGTTGCGTGATTTAAATGGATACTACATCCACTTTTACAAGTGAAGAAACAGAAACATTAAGAAATAGACCTGGATGTGAGGGCGATCTGGCTGCGACATCTGTCACCCCATTGATCGCCAGGGTTGATTCGGCTGATCTGGCCGACTAGGCGGGTGTCCCCTTCCTC